GAAGATGAACCTTGAGTGATATTTTTTATAGGAGTTTTTCTGCCTCTGCTTCCTTGTCACCATTTTTGTCTTTCTCATCTCTACCTCTCTCATTCCCTTCTATAATCTCCTACCACCTTTAAATAAATAAAAGGCAAATGTGGAGACTATTTAGTTTAGGTTTTTTTTTTTTTTTAAGAGATGTTCTATAATTTTAAATTGTAATGAAATAATGTGTCCTTAATAATTTTTATATCTCAGAAGATATGTTAGCTTTCTTTTTACATGGACTTATTTTCCATATATTTTTGACATTAGCTAACCAAATTTGTAATACAGTTTATAATTAATTGTATTATATGCATACTGCCTAGAAAGAAGCATGCATAATGAGTAATTAGAGTATATATTGCTGATATATATTATTCCTAAGAAGTTAGGCAGCAGATAAAGCATTTATTATAATTTTATTCTCTACAAAAAGATAAAGATTTATTTTATTACCCATTTGCTTAGAATCCATTTTCTAAATGTATAAAAAGTCTTTGGCGTTTGCTTGCTCAGTTGATTTCCTTTTGAAACTTAAAGTCTGTTATTTATTAAATTTGGAGTTTAAAATGTCTCCTTATAAAACTATTCTGACTGATACTGCAGATTTATGAAGTATATTTTGAAGAATGTTCATACATTTGTTTAAATTTTACATCACAGTACTTTAGCTCCTTTAAGTAATACTCTGTATCTTGTTTTGTCTTTTAAATGCCTACCTCCTACTTAAATTTTTACCTGAAAGTGTGTATGTATATGTACTCTAAGATATATAAAAAACCTCTAATGTATATATATATACATACATACTTATATACATACATATATGCATACTTTCAAGTACAATTTGAAAGTATGTATGCATATATACTCTAAGATGTATTAAAAAACTCTAAGATATATATATGTATGTATTTGAGAGATCATACATTTTAGAGTACAGATTTGAATACAATTTATATATGTATATGTATATATATATATATATATATAATATGGTGAGTGTCATACTCACATATATGTACTTACTTAAATTTCTAGAGAGTAAAACTTAGGTGCAACTCTACATTTCATTGAGTATTTAGGAAATCATATTTAAAAGAAGACAAATTTATTTGCCCAAACAATCCATTTGGAAAAACACCAGGAGTCTAAAGCAAGTTTCTCAAGAATAACTGGTATGCCATCGGTTTGCTGTGTTTCTATACATGCATACAAAGGCACACATGTACACATGTATACACACACACCCCAGGAAAGACAAAGAAATATCAAATACACAAACTTAAGGATATTAAATGTATACATTTTAGATAATAACTGATTTTATGGCCAAGGTTGAATCATATAATTATCCATGTTACTCATTTGTATTGTGTTAGTCATACTTATGGATCAGTAAGTAAATGCACAGAATGGTAGCTTCAACAATCTTACACTCTTCCTTTCTAAGAAAATGTTTTATTTCAGTCTTCTTCCAGTTATTCTTGAAAAAGTCATTTTAAAGATAATTTCCATGCTTGTCGTAGTTCTAGAAACAAAATTTACTAAAATCTGGTCATATGACTGAACAGTGAAATGTCCTATTCTCATTGTTCCCCTATATTATCACAGTGACAAACATACAAATGCTCTCACTGTCCATGGGGTTAGCTCTATTGTCTCAGTCCCAGATTTAAGCGTATGGATTTTGGATTTTCTCCCAAACGTAGCCTGGGATCAGTTAGATTTATTTCAGATTTTAAATGTGAGTATATTGAAGGCTTGACCTGATGCATTTTTCTGTCCCTGCTTGCCTGCCACTTAAGTTTCCTGCTATGAAAAGAAGACGCTTCTGAATCTTGAAAAAGCCTGGAACTGTTTTTAGAAATGCTGACTTGCCTAGAGAGCAGCTTGAATTCAGCAACTGTGAAAAAGACTATTGATCAGCTGTCTTCTTACATAGCATAGGAGATTAAATCATGTAGAGTATTGGAAATATATAGAATATTTAAAGAAAATTATATTCATGGAATACCCAAATAAACTGTTTACATCAAAATACATATTGCTTAAAAATATAGATGATAATGTTTTCACTATAGATAAATTACTTTTTTTAATATTGTTTCCCAAATTATAAAGATTGTATATATTTCTTGAAAAAAATATGAGGCTTGATAGAATGAATAGAAAAGATTCTTTTCCTATTAATGTTAAAACAGAAATTCTTGAGTTTATTTAGAATATGTACTCAATAATCTTTTCTTCACCCTCTTTATAAAAAAAAGAAAGCAAGCAAAAAGAAAGATTTGTTCTCTATCAGATCAAGTGTTTTATCAATCTGCCTAGCGGAGTCCTTTTTTTTACTCATTCCTTCCCACTCAAAGATTCTAAAGTTCTATAAAATATCAAAGAATACATCACACACTAAACAGAAGTTATCCTATGTGTTACATAAATTAACTTTACATTTTAGTAAGTTTCTGAACAGTGTAACAAGCAAATGATAGAACAAGGTGAAATCATGTGCATGATTAGGAAATAAATGATAGCATAGTTTTTTGGAAAATATTAAGTTTCAATAAGGGGAAACAGAACAGCATTAAAGACAAAGAGAGTAGCACCTTAGACACATTTATAAATGAAAGGATGTGTTTTAAATAATTATTCTGGGACAACAATCTTAAACCAGGACTTCTCAGGCAAACGAGATGGGGAAGTCACCAATGTGATTAGCAATTAATTGTCCTCATGGGAAATTAAAAGATCAAAGTGTTTACTCCTTCTTAAAGGAAATAGCATATTCATAGGAAAATATTTGATATTGCAAAGGTTTGAATTGTCTCAGTTATAAAGTGTGCCTAAAGCAAACATTCTCTATAAAGATGTGTTCGATTTTCACGGCAGCAATCACTTTTTCCACATACCAAAATTTTAAAAATATTAGACAAATAGATTTAAAATCCACCAGTAATCATAACAGATTCTTAGTTTGGATTTAATTTTTTTTGAATTAGTAAACATTTCATTTTCAACTATGCCTAAGATCATCTTGCTTTCTATTAATTTCATTTTTTGTTTTGATGGCTACTAGATCTGCTTAGAATTCATTTTAAACTGTTGGGGCAAGCCATTCATTCAGCCATCTCTTCTCACAATATTGGTATCTTCTATATTTATTAATAAAGAAAGGTCATCTTCCTTCCTGCCTCCTTCCCTCCCTCCGTTCTTTCCTCCCTCCTTCCTTCCCTCCCTGTTTCCTTCATTCTATCCTTCCCTCCTGCCTCCCTCCCTCTCTTCCTCCTTCCATGTCTTCTTCCTTCCTTCCTTCCTTGCTTCCTTCCCTCCCTTTCTACCTCTCTCCTTCCCTCCTCCCTCCCTCCCCTCTGTCCTCCCTTCCTATAATTCTTTTCACTTTTTTTGGCAAAATATTACTTATCCCAAAGCAAGTGAGAGGATTTCAAGTTATCTTAAAAATCCTTCAGTAAAGGATTTTTTTTTTTTCTGTAAATAATTCTTCTAATATATCCCATGCCTTTTTTCATGAATAGTTACCTGTGTGATATCAGTTACTCAAGACTTGGGGCTATTCCTTATCTCCAGACTGACACAAGTCCTCACCCTGAGGCCACAATTTATAACTGGCTACCACCAGCTGATGAACAACCTTACATTTATGTCTATCTGCAGGTTGAATTATAACCAGTCTTTCCCTCTTATTTAGATACTACTTCATGTGGAAAAACCTTTTCACACTGCCCTGTCAGAGTTGTCCTATTTTTGGGAACAGAACTGGCCTAGTTTGATGGAAGATGCTTGACTAAAGTGCTATTTGAAGTCAAAAGTTCCCAAGACAGTGAAAGACACTGAATGGTTGAGGGTCAGGCTGAGCTATAGCCTGATGTGCATTCAAGATCTGAGTGCTTTACTCTGTTTGGTTTCTTTTTCTTCAGTTTTCCCACATTATTCAAACTGTATTAGGAAATATGATTTTTAGAAACACATCTTAAATATTTAAACAAAAGAATGCTTAATATTAAGAAGTACCTTGATTAACACCTGTGGCCATCGATTCAATTCCGATTCAGCAACTCTGTCAGACAGAGAACTGCCCCATAAGGTTTCCAAGGAGAGATGGTGTGTTCAAACTGCCGAAGTTTTGGCCAGCAGGTGAGCTCTTAACCACTGCACTACCAGGGCTCCACCTTGATTACAAAAAACAAACCAAACCCATTGCTTTCTCATAACGACCCTATAGGGCAGAGTAGAACTGCCCCATAGGATTTCCAAGGGATGGCTGCTGGCTCGAACTGCTGACTTTTTTGGTTAGCAGCCGAGCTCTTAACCACTGCACCACCAGGACTGGTCACATATTGCTTAAGGTAATTAATTAATTATCATTTTAGGCTTATAAACAGTGGTCCCACCTGTAAAAATTATTTTACATTAAAGAAATAATTGGAAAAATATGTTCAATTGGTAATTCAATTCAGTAGTTTCCAAAAACTTAAACTAGTAACACTGTAAATAAAAAAAAACAAACCTATTGCTGTCGAGTGGATTCTGACTCACACTGACCCTGTAGGACAGCATTAGAACTGCCCCATAGGGTTTCCAAGGAGCGGCTGGTGGATTCAAACTGCCGACCTTTTCGTTAGCAGCTGAGCTCTTATCCACTGCACCACTAGGGCTCTAGTAACACTGTACTATGATATATTTCAGTGCTTACCTATGTTAGAAATTTACCAAATACTTCTTAAATCTTTTTATAACCAATTAAGGCAATTTCATATTAATGTACATTAAATTGTCCTAGCAAATTAGGCTAACAATATTTTTAAGCTATGCATTATTTGAAGAAAAGAAAACAAAAAAACCTACCAAACTGAATGTAGTAACCTCATTGAAAATGCAAAGGATAAACTTAAAAAAAAATGTTGTTCACATTTCTTAAATTCTTCTAACAAAAATTTCTTACAATTTTATTTCAGCTGTGAATGTACATCTGGATGGACTGGACAAAATTGTAGTGAAGAAATAAATGAATGTGACTCTGACCCATGCATGAATGGAGCTCTTTGTCATGAATCTACTATCCCTGGGCAATTTGTATGTCTGTGCCCACCCTTTTACTCTGGACAATTCTGCCATCAGCGCTATAACCTCTGTGATCCACTCAATGGTCCTTGCAGAAACAACTCAACATGCTTGACTTTGTTAGATGGAGATCATTATTGTGTTTGTAGAAAAGGTAAGACAGCATATGTGTTTTAATATTTTTTTAAGCTTTTTGTTTGTTTTTATTTATTTATTTTTTTGGCTCCTATGGATCAATGGTCCCGTGAGAATAAGTGAGAAAAGATTTTTCTGTATTGAGGAATCTAAGTATCCAAACACACTGGGGAAATAATATAAAAAAAGTAACTTAAATAGTGTATGGGGAGAGGAAAACAGAGTGAGGCTATGCATCTTTTTGGCTCTCCCCCCCCCCCACCAAAAAAAATTTCTCTTCTTCTTTGGTAACAGTTTAGTTTTTTGGGAAGCATTGTCCATGTAGGGTTGATGAAGTTAATCCCACCTGTCTGGGCATATTCTCTGGTCCTGATGAAAGCAGTTAAGAGATGAGGACGGATTCAATCAAAAGTAATCAAATTCTTCAATGTGGCTTTTCACTCATAGCTATATGGAAGCATCGCTTTTTTCTGCTACGATTGCTAAACTAGTATGATGTTACTCAGGCTACTTTGTCCATAGGAGAAAGCCCATGTATGAGATAGAGAATGGGCAGATTTGATTATTGGAGCTCCTGAATCCAGCCATACCTGAAGCCAGCGGTGCTTCTGGCTTTTTGAGTCACACGAGCCAATAAGTTTACTTATCCTTAAACTTGTCTGGTTGGAGTCTCTTCAAATGCAATGGAAAGAGCTGTGCACAGGTGTTTTGAGTATATGTTATTCTCATATACTGCTGGCTACTCAAGAACTACTACTGCCTACAGTCATGACTGCTTCTGCCATAAAACAAGTACATTAAAGGTTTTCAGTATAACTGGAACATATCAACATGGGACAAATACCACATTGTCTTTAGAGGCCACCCCTGCAATTAATTTTCTGATACTCACCTAAGGATGATCTATCTTTCCTATCCCAGGCCTTACTAGAGTAGGAGTCCCTTAAAAATATGGGCAACACTTACTCTTCTGTCAAAAATGTCTGGCTCACACTATATCAGTTAGTTAGACATCTTAGTCAAAGCTGTTTCCGTTTGTTTTTACACACCCTTTAAAACTTTCTCAAGATACAAGGTAAATTATGATAAAGACATAGGGGCAAGTGTTGGAACGTTGTGCGTGATAGACACCACTTGGCCTCCTGAGGGACTGGAACAAGAACTGGAAGGCCAACAGAAATCGTTTTAGCAAAAAACAACATGGCCTTTATAAAGCATATTATAGGGGCATATAGAGCATGCAGTAAAATATTTTCAGGTATGACGTAGGAAAATCAAGATTGAGAGAAAAAACGGGAGGGAGCATTTAACGCACCTGAAAATCTAAGTAACTCTTAAGTACATAATAAAAATGAATAAATATTTTTTCTTTTAACAAAAATTTGATAGAGTGAAATTTCTTAAAAAATATTCAGCATCAGTGGAGGAGCTAATTTATCTATAATTATTTACTTATAATAATACCTATTTTTCTCCAGATATTTCTATAATCATTAAGGGGGTAGCAGTGTGTTTATTTACTTTAAATAAAACATCCTCTATATCCACCAGAGATGGACTTTTAATTTCCCAAATCATTTTTGGTAATTCATTTTCTTAATTCATTTGAGGAATTTATAAAATATAGTGAAATTCCTTTCCTGTGGTTGTGGGGTAAGAGAAAAATAAGATATATCATAAAAACTTGTCATCACATATCAAATTAGTAATAAAATTTCCCATTCACATTAGCATTCACAAAGGTAGCTCTTTAAGAGAATTTAAATTTTGCCATCATCTGTAAGAACATTTTTTTTTTCCCCCTTGTAACTTCATCATTCTACTTAAGGCTTCCAGAAAAATATAACCAAACAAATCAATACTTTGGATAGAGTGATGGGGCTGGGGGATGTGATATAAAGACACAATTAACTATGTGTTTATGCCTTTCTAGTTTTGCTTCAGCACAAAGAGATATTTGAAACGTATACCATTTACAAGCTATTTAGCTTCATACAGATATACATAAAAGAAAATCAAAAATGTTTCTTTCCTTAGAAACTGAAGGAGTAAGTTTGTGTAAATCACATTTTACTACATGAAAAATGTTTACTTAATACTGCTTTTAGCAGTTCAACTTCTGTGGCAGATGAAAAACTAGAAGGCTGTAACTTTATTTATGAAAACTCAGAAAATTAAAAAAAGGTTGACTACGGAGTATTTTAGAAGCTATGTCCTGGATTTCATTAATAGCTCTTATTTAAAATAGGATCTAAATCAAAACCATTATATCATATAAAAATATTCTGATCAAATTCCATTTTAACACGTATCAAAATTTAAAACCCCAAGGAGTTCTAAGACTTAACATCTCATACAGATGTAGGATTCAGAAACTCCAATGGAGCTTTTTGCAAGTTGTTGGTGTTTATGACTAGCGTATGTCAAGACAAAAGAAGAGAGATTTAAGGCTTAAGTTCTGAGGGTTCAGCATAAATGTATTTCTGAAATTCTTTTTCATAGTTTTTAATCAGTCTATAAGGTCTGTAATAATTTAAATATGAAAATTCTGTATACAGAGTAATAATATGACAACATCTCAGAAAGCTAAATTATAGATGTCATGTAAATTCACCTTGAAGAACCAGCGAATAGAGTAACCAGTACTTTTGGATTTATACCATAATGATCGATCAGCAGGTGAACTATTTTGGTGAGTGTGATTGAAACTTATATTCAAAAAATCACTCATCTAATCCATGTTGATGTAATGTGAGCTTCTTAAAAATTGTAGGTGTAATAAAACATCACAACTATTGTGGTCATGTTTTGGAAGAGAAATTAAGGACAATGCTTCTGTCTTCTGAAGAACTGAGTCGGGTTCATTTGGTCCTTGTGAGCACTGAACATTTTCTATTGCCAAATAGGTAGGCAAAGAAGTGTAGAGCAGTAATAATTCAATCCAGGTTTGTTTTATTTGTTGAAGCAATTTCTGTGATTAAAAAATCAGTACTTTAACAAACAAAATATAGCACACAGAAAGACAAATGCAATTTTATAACATTTCCAGAAACAGATGGGGTTTATTCTTGACACCCCAATAGTGTTAGCTTTAGTGATTTCCACACTTCAAAATTTATTTTATAATACACCTGATTTCTTTTGCCTGAACAAACCCTGCTCTGTACACAACATACGTCAATCCTGCAAGTGCATGTCAGTGCTCTGGAAATCAAAAAATTGTATTCTTTATTAACTGATTCAACCAACATATATATGATTTCCTACCAAGAGTCAAGTCTTAAAATAGGTTCCGAAATTGAACATGACAAAGATAGGTCTTCCAGTAATTTAAAGTTTAAGAGAGAGAGACAAGTTAACCAACCATTGAAGCACAGTGTAGTAAGAGCTTTCACATTTATGGCTGGAGTATGCACAAGGAGCAAGAATTTGTGGATACATAACCCAGCTTTCTGAGTGAATTCCACATGATCTCTAAGAGGGTTCCCAGCAGGCTCAAACTTCAGTTGCCCACAGCAATAACTTGCTGGTTAAGCCATGCTTTATTCCCAGTCCTGTTTTATTCCACCACTCTCTTGCCATAATTCTTGGGATTACCTCTCCAATAAACTACTTGCATACAAACCATCATCTGAGGATCTTCTTTAGGGAGAACTCAATATAAAACACATCACAAATCCCATCCCTCTGGCAACTACTCTTAGTCCAAGTTCTGGGCATTGTGATTGAAATATTGCCATTCAGAGACCTTCCTTGGGATTGATGCTGAGAGAAAGAGGCTTTCTCTTTCAACAAGAGTTTTTCAATTGGTGCAGGCAACCACTATGTTCCCTTTGCAAGTCTGTTTGCAGAAGGAAAGAAGTGTTTGTGAAAGAAGAACTTGTCCTGGCAGTGTTAAATATACCTTCGTTCAGTTCCTACAGTTCTTGCTTCGGTTCTGCAAGCTGCCTGATATACCTCCCAGTTAGACTACCAATAAACCTCATTATTTGTTTAAATTAGCATTTTTATTTATATCATGTGTGGCTGCTAACCAAAAGGTCAGCAGTTTGAATCCACTGGCCGCTCCTTGAAACCCTATGGAGCAGTTCTACTCTGTCCTGTAGGGTTGCTATGAGCTGGAATCGACTTGATGGTAATGTTTTGTTTTGTTTTTATTTTTTATGTGTGGCCAAAAGAATAATGGCTAATATATATACTGAAGGAAAACAACTAATGAAGTGAGAGAAGTTCAATAAACTGGGTCCAATTACAGGCTAATAGACATAGAATCTAAAAATTATATACAGCTTAAGAAGATATAAATGACTAGATAAAAATGTATGTGAATTTGTGTGTATATATTATACAGTACAGTCGCTATATTGATGTGCATGGGTGAGAGATCTAAAATTGTTTAATTTTTAGATGTACTTTTCTCCTAATAGTCTAAGATTCCTTATTGTTCTACTTTGATTTATATATCAGATTATAAGCAAGAATATAACCCTTATTAAATATTTTAAGTTAATTTAATGTTTCCAAATGTAGTCACTTATCCATATGTCTCCAAGGAAAATGGAGCAGGAGTTTATTTTAAATAACACTTTACCAAGGATTAAAATGTGGAAAACACACCCTGTAAGGTGTTGTATTAAAAGGAAAATCAGATCATTTGGATGTGTTATTGATTTACAATCAAAATCCTAAGCCTGATGGATTTGTAATACCAGAGGAGGCAAATAGTTGCATGTAAATGTGTCTATTATTCCAGTATACACATTGCCATTAAATTATCCCACATTGCCTAAAATGTATAATTCCCAGCACCAAATAAATGTCACTTGACAAAAAAGTTTGCCTATAGTAAACATTATTCCTTCTGACAAATTTAAAACATGAAACCTATCTGTAGTAGCATATATCTATTTGGTTTAAATAACTGTGGGAAAAATTATATTGGGAAGATTTTTCAAAGAAAATATATATTGCTATTAATTAACCTTAAGACATCCTAAATATTTATTGCATTTAAATAATTAGATTCTCTACATTAAAAAAATACTTTAAATTTGGTGTTTAAATTTTTATTAGTACTTATTGGATCTATTTTTTATATTGGTTCATTTATAGAAAATATAATGTTTTTAAAAAAAATTAAGAAAAAATATTTAAAAAAAAAAGATTTCAGACTTGCCAAAAGAGAACTCTATGTTTTGTTTCCATAAAGTTTTTAAATATAGGAGTTAGCTTGAGAAATACGATTTTTTTTTTAATTAAGAAGAAATATGAATAATACCCTGGTGGCAGAGTGGTTAAGAGCTTGTCTGCTAACCAAAAGTTTGGTTCAAATCCACCAGCCGCTCCTTGGAAACCCTAAGGGGCAGTTGCACTCTCTCATATAGGGTGGCTATGCATCAGAAAGTGGTTGGCTGCTAACTGAAAGGTTGGTAGTTTGGGTCCACCCACAATTGCCTAGGAAGAAAGGCCTAGTGATCTTCTTCCAAAAAATCAGCCACTGAAAACCGTGTGGAGCACATTCTACTCTGACACAAATGAGGTCACCGTGAGTTGGAATCAACTACACAGTAACTGGTTTTTGGTTTAATTCTTTTGAAAATAATTTTAACTTTTTTTCATTTTAAAACGTGTTTTTTACACTACCTTTGTTGAATACACTAATTTTTTTTTCTGTATACTTTCATTTCTAATGATGTCCATCTAACATCACTTCTAAAGTGAGAATTGTTAAGGTGTAGCCCTAAATGATAGAAACCTTTCTAAAAAGTGTTTAAGAGCGTTTAGTATTTTCATTATCAGTAAAAACCTAAATATTGTTAACAGACTTTGCTCCAGAGAATACCGTGCAAAAATGCTGAATTTGTTTGAAACGAGAAAATATTAAGTGATTTAAAAACCAATACCTATAATCTAAATTGATATGACTCCTATATTTAAGCAATAGGCTTACTAACTTTATGGTATGTTTTGAGGGATGGGGAAGTTTAGAAATTATAACATTTACTAGCCATTCATGTGCGTTTGCTACAACAATAGACGAATGAGACAATATTAAAAAATTATCAAGAAAGCATCCGTCTGAGAATGCCTCAGTGTGTGTGTGAAGAATTCTACTGCAGTTAGTACAGTTGAGGCAGATGAATAACACAGGGACAACATATAATTAATTCACTGCACTTTCTTTTTTCCAGTCTTTTAGCTAAACTGCATATATTCAAAATAAGTACCCTTTACACAAATGAATGTCAACCTCTAACACCAAAGACTAAGGAAAATTTAGTTTGAGACTCAGTATATATACATTTCACTCCTTTAAAACCCCCAAAATAAGCTTTCTCAGCAAATATTTGACTTATTTTAAATGCAATCCATATCTACTTTATTTTTTCTCCTGTGTCTACTGCATTTCAGCAATCTCATTTCCTTACCTCATTGACATATGTTGCTAGTTGGTAACAAAGTTCCATCTCAGAAATGTCAAACATAATGAATAAGGCAAAATCATGGAAAAACAAGGTTATCCTGTGAGCTGTCTGAGTTTCCTAGCTGCTGAGTGTTTGGATTCATCAGCTCTGCTGGGCTCAGGGAGGCACACTGGCACTTCTCCAGCCATTCAATGATCCTGAGTTCCAGTGGCTCAAAAGAACATTTCTAAGAGACATCTTAGTGTCAGAATGTCCTGCCTCCTCAAGAAAGCCAGTCATACTAAAAGTAGGAATGGTGAAATGCATCCTAATTTTTACATTTTTAACTTGTAAAAAAAAAAAAAAAAAAAAATCTAACTACAATAAAATATTTTTAAAAATTAGAGTATCTTTGGAAAATAGAAGCTAACTTATAACTGTAACATGACATTTACAATTTAAATATAAAAAGAGTAACAGAGAATGATGACTGTTGAAGTGTGTTGAATAAAAATACCTTGCTAAATCAGGAGAACTTTATTAACTCAGAAATAATTTTTTTTTAATGCTGAACATGCATTATCTTGTGCATAAATGAAACTGCAAGCATGTAGCTTCAAATTTTAACTTGAAAACTCCAGGAAATGAATTAAAAATACGGCAAATTACTAATCCTTGTCCTGAAAATTATCTTCTCTGCTATTTGTACAACCTCTCCAGCTTTGTTATAATTTGTGTTTCATGGCACATCTTCCTTCCATCCTTTTACATTAACACATCTTTGTCTTTTTGTTTTAGGTGAATTTTTTTTAGATATCTTGTAGTTGGGTCTGTTATTTTATTTTGTTTGACTGTCCTGCCTTTTAAATGTAGACTTTTAAAAATCACTGTGTTTAATATAATTTTGATATGTGCAGCTTCAAATAAGCCATCTAGCAATTCGTTTTCTTTTTCTTTTTCTTTTTGTCTGTATCTGTTCCATTTTCTTTTTTACTTTCTTTTGGATTAATTAATGTTTAGTTTTTCATAATATATCCTGATGAAGAGGCAGCCAGCTTTTATAAGATATAATCCCAACCTCCTGGTTACCTGCTGATTGGAAGAGGATTTGGCACTTGACCAAACTTTCTTGGTAGACACCCCAGAGAATAGCAAGAACGTGTGGCCTGGTATGATGTGAAAAGATAGAGGTCATTCCATGTTCTCTTGTGGAATCTGAATGAGGAAATACTGAGAGAATGTTCCGTTGAAATGACGTGGGACAGAGATAGAGGCCAAGGAAGCCATGCTGTATCATCTGCATGCCAGTGTTCCAAATCGTTTGAAACTTTGAACAGGAAGACATATTTTCAGATAGAAATAAGAAAATAAACTATATGAAAAGAAAGAAGGACAGGTACCATGGGAAGAAAACAGAGCTATTCATGGGTTGCTAGACCATCCTCTCCTTCAGCTACTTCTCAGTTCCAATTCCAGTCTATGTATATGCCAACAATAAATCCTGTTTACTTAAAGTAATTTGAATAACTCCCTATTCCTCAATTAAATAAGTCTTACTGGTAGTGTTATTTATAAAACCAAAACCTGTTGCTGTCGAGTCGATCTCAACTCATAGCTACCCTACAGGGCAGAGTAGAACTGCTCCATAGAGTCTCTAAGGAGCAGCTGGTAATTTGAACTGCTGACTTTTTGGCTAGTGGCCAAGCTCTTAACCGATGTGCCACCAGGGCTCTGTCATTTATAATGTCACTGCAACCATTTGGTGTTTAGTTATATCACTAAAAAAGAAAAAGAAAGGAAAATCTTGTTTCTCACATTTTCTAACAATTACAGAAAAATATTAAGAAAAAATATATTTTTATACTTAGTTTATATATAACCATGGAAATAATTATTTAAATGGTCATTATAAACATGAAAATATTTAATTTTATTTAGAAAATAATACCATGTTAATTTTTCTGACACTAATATTTTGAAATAATTAGAACTGCCTCTCTTAACAGTATAATTTTCTTTCACATTCGTTTTTGTTTTTTAATATAACTGGCAGGTGTTTAAATGGATGGCTGATTTGGTAGCTATGAATCAAAATAATTTGTTTTCTGTCAAGCACTTTGATATGAAAAGCAATTAAATAATTTGCTTCATCTGCTAACTGCTTTGAATAAACTGATAATTGCAACTCAATTTTCCTTTAAGACTGGTCATCATATAAATTCATTTTGCTTGCCAGATTATTTCTAATCTTCCTGTTGAAACATTTAAATAACTTAAAACAATAGTGACATCAACAACTTGCCCATAGGAGTTGGTAGAGTATTCCTCCTTTGATTCTTTCATTTGAACTCATTAATCTAGAAACTAACATAATTTTATTCATACGTTATTTGAAATAGAGTTGTATGAGACGCCTGAGGTAAGCGAGTTTCTCTGTCTCCTTTGTTTCTTTTTAACTTCCATTAGGAGCATATTCTCCAGACTCTTTACCACTGATTCTGACTTTCACACTCTATAGAGAAGACTGCTTATCCATATCCATCTCATCTCTCTTGCAGGATTTGAAGGTGAACGCTGTGAAATTGATATGAATGAGTGCCTCTCCCTACCCTGCCAGAATCATGGTGACTGTGAGGATGGGGTCAACAATTTCAGGTATAGAAAACAAAAATAAAATCTAGATAATAGTAAGTTTAGAATTTCAATTGACAAACTGAACAACATTTCTGATTATTAACAAATATTCCGTGGTGCAATTCATTGACACAGTGGCTGCAACAATGGGCTCAAATATAGCAACAATTGTGAGGATGATGCAGGATCAGGCAGTGTTTCATTCTGTTACACGTAGAGTCACTGTGAGTTGGAACTGACTCAACAGCACCTAACAACAACAGTAACTTGAGACATCAGCGTTACACAGTAGTACTAATGGAGTTATTATATTTCTTGTATACAAGGTGTGTTTGCAGACCCGGATTTTCTGGATCTCTATGTGAAATGGAAATTAATGAGTGTTCTTCCAGACCTTGCAAAAATAATGGAACCTGTGTGGATCTTACGAACAGGTTAGAGGTTACTTTTTACTGAATCTATTATATGTATAATTTAATAATTAAGTGAACACATATGTATATTAAAGAAATTAGAAACAGAATGTTACCAATATCTAAGTGCCCCACTGCAAGCACACTCTCCTCCCTACAATTCAATTTTATTGAATATCCTGGATTGTTAGGATCCATGCCTTTAATTTATACTATTAATTATTTGTGTGTATATATGTATGTATGCCTGAATAAAACACTGTTTAGTTTGCATATTAATATAAGTGAAATAGTATTGTTTATAGTCTTCTGAAGCTTAATTATTTTTTTGTTCAACATGATGTTTCTGCATTACCTGTTAAAGTGTTAAGCTTATTTGTGGCTTCTGCCTACTAATGTTCTTTTCTAATTGATTTGTATGTATCTCTATATATCTTGAATACTAGTACCTTTGTTAATGGTGTGTATTGAGAATATATTCTCAGAGTCTCAACTTTTTACCTTCTTTATGATAAGTTTTGAATACTAAAACTCAATTTTAATGTAGTTGAATTCATTTATTAGTTTGTGCATATTGCCTGCTTTATCTTGTTTATATGTCTTCTCTACTAGGATACTTACTTCTAAAATATTTAAAGTTCTGACTCTTCATACTCAAATTTCAAATCCGTCTGGAATATTGTATATGTGTATATGTTAGTGTGCATGTAGTATGTGTTAGGGATCTAAATTCTTTTTTTTTTTCCATATGAATAGTATATTGTGTCTGCTACAGGTATTGCATAAATCTTTAACCCAGTCCCCATATATCAGTATGTCTGTTTCTCTGCCTTTACTCTGTTTCCTTAGTTTAGCTAGTCATCCTTATGCCAGTACCATAAATCTTAAGTATGTACCTTTGAAATATCTTGCTATTGGTAAGGCAAGGCATCTCACCTTCTAAATCTTCTTCAGGAATCATTAGTTATGTTTGACCATTTCTTTCATTGCAATTGACTTGATATATTCTGTATAAATATACCACCAAACAAGCAAACACCCAAAAACCTGGTAGAATTTTGATTGGAATTGCAATGATTGTGTTAGATCAATTTGAAAAGACTTGATATATCATTATTTATTTAGATAATTTAAATACATACATATATATATACATATATATATATATATAACTTGTTCAAATTCAACTGAAAATTCTCTGATTAGGATGATTGGCACCCCATGTGCCAAGGGCTCTTTTTATCTATTTTAATAGAGATCCTATATCTAGAATTGTTGTTGAGATTCTCATCACAATCTGATTAAGTTTCCAATAATTTTCTATGGCCCATCTATGTTTTGCACTATCCAGTCTGATGGGGTAAGTGGAAATATGCTTGGAATCACCACTACAAGCCCCGTGTTAGCTGCCATTGAGTTGACTCTGACTCATGGACACCTTACGTACAACAGAACAAAACACCGTCAGATCCTCTATCATCCTTACAATTGCCAGCATGTTTGAGCCCATAGTTGTGGCTGTTGTGCAAATCCATCTAATTGGGGGTCTCCCTCACCCTTGTTGGCCCTCTACTTCACCAAACATAATGCCCACCACTAGCAGTTGATCACTCCCAATGATATGTCCAAGTCAATCAATTCAGACAATGTTTTGTGATCCATAACGTTTTCATTGGCTATTTCTTGGAAGTAGATCACCAGGCCTTTCTTCCTATCTGTCTTATATTAGAAGCTCTGCTAAAATCTTTCCACCATGGATGACCTGCTGGTATTTGAAATACCAGTGGCATAGCTTCCAGCATCATAGTAACATACAAACCACCACAGTATGACAAACTGACAGACAGGTGGTGGCCAAGCCCCATAGGGATACAGAATTGCTTTCAGTTAAAAATCTTAATGGGTCAGAAAGAGCAGTTTAAGTCTTCCAGTTAGGTTTTTCTCTATAATATCTCTCATTCCAATATGGAAATTCTATTAGTAAGTACATCTATTACATTATACATTCAGGGACTGGGGGGGGGGGACAAAAAGAGGACTTATGATCCCATCTCACCTGACCTCAATAATCTTGTACTCTGACAAAGCAGTAGCATTTCAAAAATAAGCATAAGTTCAAAGTCAATACAAAATACATCCTAAAACACCTGGATAGTTTTCTTTCCTCAGTGAATAGCTGTACTGGTAAACTACCTCATGCCCCAATGAAGAAGGCTTGGGGAAAGATACATGGACCACACATGCCTATATTGTAGAACTCTTCTTCAAATAGACCCAAACTTACCCACAGTTGGGAGATTGGGCATATGATGTAGCTTATATATGAGAATTAAGTACAAGGATGGAAATTCCTGTAATACCAAATTGAATTAAGTTTCTGTCCACTTCCATAGATTCCTAGGAATCAAACCATGGATCACCATTCTGTTTCTTTGGCATATGTTGCTATTTTCTCACTTTGTATCTGAGAATCAAGCACATCCAACAACCCTTTTACATTCTTGGATCTCATTGTTGTAATTCATATCAGGAAACCTAATTTTATTGTAGCACCCTCCATTGTTATCTTCAGCCTATAGAGGACAATCACCACAGAACACTTCAGGGACATTAGTGCCCTCCAAACAATTTTTTTTTTTTTTTTATTATATTTTAGATGGAGGTTTACAGAACAAACTAGCTTCTCATTAAACAATTAGCACACATATTATTTTGTGACATTGGTTACCAACATCACGACATGTCAACACTCTCCTTTCTCGACCTTGGGTTCCCTATTACCAGCTTTCCTGTTCCCTCCTGCCTTCTAGTCCTTGCCCCTGGGCTGGTGTGCCCCTTTAGTCCTGTTTTGTTTTATGGGTCTGTCTAATCTTTGGCTGAAGGGTGAACCTCGGGAGTGACTTCATTACTTAGCTAAAAGGATGTCCGGGGGCCATACTCTTGGGGTTTCTCTAGTCTCTATCAGGCCAGTAAATCTGGTCTTTTTTTGTGAGTTAGAATATTAGTCTATGTTTTTCTCCAACTCTGTCTGGGACCTTCTATTGTGATCCCTGTCAGAGCAGTTAGTAGTGGTAGCTGGGCACCATCTAGTTGTGCTGGACCTCCCACCAATCTTTATAATAATCCTTAGTGATTAGAATGTCCTCCTAGGAGAATGGAATGTCCTCCTGTACTCCTTTGGAATAAGAATTAGGGATATCTGAGCAGCTTACACAAAATAGATTCATCACAATATTTCCATACTAATGAGCCTATGGACTCCTCGCTCTATTATATACCAAGGAAAGTCTGTCATTTCTACTTCATTAACCTAAACTATACTTGAGTCCAATCTTTGATTAGCCATTCTAGCTAACACCACACCCAGGTACTCATGTCAGCACATTAGATGTCCTATCCATATTCATGTCAATGAATTTGACTCGTATTTATTCTTCCATGGCCTGACCACCTTAGATTTAATCCTACACATGCTCTTCAGCTTTGTGATAATACAAATTCTTGGTGTTTTTAAATTCTTCTAGGGTATGAGTTGTCTTCCTCCTAAGTAAGTGTCCTTCCTCTCATCAGCAGTATTGGAAACTAACTTTTTTTTTTTCTCCATGGACCTGCGGCAATGAGAGATGTTTTAGGGCAGGGAAATACTGGTAAGTTTATAAAGAAACTCTTCCTGTTACAGTTGGAAACCAGTTTTTATGCAGAGAAGCACAGATTCCCTCAGACTAAAGTAATCTCCATTACTAGTTAGGGAGATTTAGAGGAATTTAAAGATTTAAGTTTCTTAACCATATCTGTCCTGTGTCTACAGGAAATCAGAACTCCTTCAAAGTTACCATAGAAACTCCATCTTTTTTATATTATTTCTTAGCAAACAGCCTGAAAACTCAGTGGTTTAAATTAACAGTCACTTATTATGATTTTCACTGTGTAGCCTTCTGGAAATTGGCTAATGACATTTAGGTTCATTTTGGGTGTCTGTAGGTCACAATTACAGAGTCTTTGCAGGTCTGTGGCCAGCTGAAATGGTACCATTCTAAGTGCCTCTCATATTCTTCTAATGGAATGGCAGAGTCTCAAGAGAACAAGCAGAAGCATGCAAAACCTCTTAAGCCCTAGGTTCTGAATCAGCACATTTCTACTTTTACTCATAGATCACTGTCCAAAGAAAAAATTATGGCCAAGCTCAAATGAGTGGAACAAAGAGGTACTCTCTGCTCATGATGAGGCTTTTGCCAGGAGGATGAATTAAGATAAAAAATTCAGTCAGCCACAGCAGACTGCTGGCTTTTCAATCTATACTTGTTCAAGGCCTAACACACTCTCTCTAATTTGTGTGTGAAGCAAGAATCCCTTAGTGATAGCTGAGTAGAAGCCTGAATGAAATTGTCCAGTAATCCCTGGCTGAAATCAATATAAGACCAAAACAATGTGAGAAGATATTGGAAAATGATATACAAAAATAATTTAAAGAGGAGGAAAAATTAATAAGTAAGCAGATAATCAGGAAACTTAAATAAAAGAGAGAGATTTTGCATCTTTCCATGGGAAATCTCACCCACTGATCATAGAAGGATGAAGACCTCCTTCAGCTAAAATGTTGTGAAGTTTAATATGTATATACCCTAGAGAATATCTTGAATATGTGTACAAGGAGATGTGTACAATGTACAACATTTGAGATATGTTATAATGGTGTACAATAATAACTTCCAAGATGAGAATCAGCATAAAATCCATTCCCAAAGGGCAGACATCAATCATATCCCCACTTTCCCATTTCATCATTTCTGACACCAGTCAGAAATATTTCAGAAAATAATTGAAGTTGTTAAGGATTTTATTTTATTTTTGTCCACAATCAATGCCCATAAAACAGCAGTCAAGAAATCAAACAAAGTAATGCATTGGGCAAATCTGCTGCAAAAGCCTTCTTTAAAGTGTTAAAAAGCAAAGATGTCACTTTGAGGACTAAGGTGCACCTGACTCAAGCCATGGTATTTTCAATTGCCTCATATGCATGCCAGTACTGGACGATGAATATGGAAGAACAAAGAAGAAATGATGCATTTGAATCGTGGTGTTGGTGAAGAATATTGAATACACCATGAATATACCAGAAGAACGAACAAATCTGTCTTGGAAGAAATATAGCCAAAATGCTACTTAGAAGCAAGGATGGCGAGACTTCATCTCATGTACTTTGGACATGTTATCAGGGGTGACCAGTCTCTAGAGAAGGACATCATGATTGGTAAAGTAGAGGGTCAGGAAAAAAGAGGAAGACCTTCAATGAGATGAACTGACACAGCAGCTGCAGCAATGGGCTCAAACATGGCAACGATTATGAGAATGGTGCAAGACTGAACAACATTTCATTCTGTTGTACATACGGTAGCTATGAGTCAGAATGGACTTGATGGCACCTAACAATAACAACAACAATGAAATCTGAACCTATTCATACATCCTAAAAATAACTATACAGCAAAAATAAAAATATAATAAATCCCACTTCTTCGGTATAAAAAAAGAGAATACAAGAAATTTTATATTATCTAATTGAGCAATAAATAAATATATTGAAGATAATGAAAACCAGGTTCTTCACTGTCAGAAAAAGGAATCGTAACTATGGGAAGGGATAGACTAAAATAAATCCTATGATGTAAAGCCTTTTAGAGAGTCGCTTTATCAAGCGCACTGCCTTTAAACCTGACATCTAACCATTAAATTGTATTTGATTTATCCAACAACTGCCAATATAGTTAAACATAAATGATAATGTTCCTTCTAAAAGAAAAATAAAAAAAAATAAGAGGGTTTTAATATCAGAAAAATATCATTCAATTCATGGGCCGAGTAACACAATATGGTTGAAGGTTTATAATATTATTGTAGGACAACACGTCCTGCTCAGCCACACTATAACTGTAAGACAACACTCCAAATCTGCGTTGTACTCCCAAGTTGGACCTGATTTCTAGATAGCAAGGAGGCCATTAGAAAAAGGGCACCAATAACTAATACGGACTGCTCCATAAATGTCATATCCTTCTGATCAGAGCCTGAACACACATTAGCACATGGAAGGTATCTGTTATTACTTACAAGAATCAGACAGCTTAAAACCAGTAAAGTTCCGTAATGAGAAGTCCCCCCCCCGCCAGATATTTTATTCCCCTAGCCTAAGTGACATTATACGTTTCTAACACCGCTAATAAACATCTTACTGCATCATGCCCCCCTAACTTCCTGAGGAGGAGAGGTTGTTAGACCAGAATCGTATCTTTTTAATCTTGCTAGCAAACATCAGGTATCAGTAAGGTGGTGATTTGTTCTGAGGTATAAAGATGTCAGCAGCGAGAGTAACGGAGAAAATAATGGCCATCTGGCTTGTGTAAAGGACTTACTCTTCACAGATATAACGCGCAAAAAAATACCAAAACCGAAAACCAAACCCGTTACCGTCAAGTTGATTCCAATTCATAGCGACCCTGTCGGACAGAGTAGAACTGCCCCGCAGGGTATCCAAGGAGCGCCTGGTGGATTTGAACTACTGACGTTTTGGTTCGCAGCCCTAGCGCTTAACCAAAAAGAATACAGTTATAGAATTAAGCTCAGTAGTAGTTATCTACGTTCTAGTAATTATTTACCCAAACATATCCCTTTAATTTCTCATGTAAGGAACATTTGAAGGGAAAAATACATTACAGCATCAATTTCTGTATTTTCTTTAAAAAAAAAATGAAATGAAAATATTAACATTTACTATATTAAGTCAAAATCTGTAATTAAGTATATGAATATGAACTATGTATATGAAGAAATGTTTTTCATTGTTACATGCTTATTTCTTTCTCATTTTCCTACTTTCTCTAGATTTTTATGTAATTGTGTACCGGAGTCTCATGGATCCTCCTGTGAGTTGGATGTGAATAAATGTAAAACCTCACCTTGTCTAGATGGAGAAAACTGCGTCAACAGAACTGGAAGATACAAATGTCTCTGTGCCTCTGGTTATACAGGTAAACCTATGAATGTTCTGTCAGCATCAACAGATTGCTACCTCATATCTACACTCTAAAACTCGAAACAACCTACCGGGTGCAAACAGTACAGAGAGGTCAAGAGACTTTGCCTCTTTTAAAATAAATCAATACAAACTAAAATCATGTTTGTTTGTTTGTTTTTTCCCATCTACAATTTTTCAGATTGAATGTATTTGAAATATATTGACTATATTGACTATATTTGTATTGACTATATTTTGGATATATATTCGAAGTACAAAATATGTCGAATATATTTTGAAGACATATATTTCATATATATTGAATATATTTCAAAGTACTTTATATTGAATATATATTCAGTATATATGACTTTATATTCATATATATTGAATATGTTTTGAAATATATTGAATATATTTCAAAGCATTTTACATTTTTATGTTTTTTTATTGCATTGAAGTTTATCTGAAGTATGTTAATGTGGTTATAGTAAAGAAAAAAGTATTGGTGTATGAATAAACTAAGAGAAGTTATGTTGTTATAGCTCTTATGCAAATGCCATTTTTAAATATAGTAAGTTTAGATCTTTAAATGCACCTATATGCCAGAAATCAATCAGAGAGTACTTGTGAATTTAATGTGTAACAGAAAAATATGATTTGGAGTTAACTGTCTTAATATCAATTATTCCACAACATAAACTCTGTCCAAACGTAAAAGCCAAATTCATCAAGAAACTTATAAGAGGTAGAGGCATTGGTCCTGTAAACTTCTGGTGAGAAATTGCATTTGTGAAAAATTAAAATCTACCTTGTTTTGGCATACCAGTGTTAATGATGTGCGTCCAGTAACAACACATTCGATTCTCAAATCTCTATTAATGTCTGAATTCTATAGTACTGGCATCCTGTAGGTTCCTTTCTGGAGGGAAATTGGTTGTGAATAGAGTATTAGGTTCTGCGCCGGCCAGAGTTAAAGAAAAAGAAACAGACTGAACACATGCAAGTGAGATTGTGAAGCAAAAGTGATAAGAAACTAGAAGCATTTCCAAAAAATATGTTATCAAAAAATAACCTAAGGTAAGGGATTTGGACAAAACGTGTGCAAATGTCTCTTCTAATGAATCCTGGATGGTTTCAGAGAAGGTTACCCTGGTAACAATTGTTACATGCATAAAAGTCTCATATTAAATAAATATAAAATATCATTACCTATGGATTTTATTACATAAGAAGCATTAAATTTTGGTTATGTAACAATGCCCTTTCTAAATTTCATATTGCCCATAATCTTCCAATTACTTGAGATTTTTATTTGAGACTGTAAATATCCAGCTAGCAATACCATTTCCCATGCTGTTGTTGCTGTTGCTAGCACTGCTAACAGTGTTAAAATAAGAAATGACGCACTAAGCTCAATATGACTGAGAAACACATTTTGTAAGATTATTTGATACAACACATTGCTCTGATATTTTAAATACATTCCAAATTAGGGAGTATTAACATGTTCTTTGTTTTTCTTTTCACAATGTCTTCTATTTTCATTATAAAATTATATGGAAAAACGGTGCCTAGCATGGTATTAACCAAGATACTACCAGTTGTTGTTGTTGTCAGTTGCCGTGGAGTTGATTCCGACTCATTGCAACCCTCCATAGGGTTTTCAAGTCTAGAAACTCTCAGAAGCAAGTTGCCAGGCCTATGTTCCAAGGCCTGGTCATTGAGTGTCAAACCATTTGCACCACCTGGGTTTGTCTGTATATTGGTTCAGCCACAAGTAAAACACAACACAAGTAATTGTTGACTTAAATAAATGTTGTTGTGTACCATGTAGTTGATGTTGACTCATAGCAGCACTATCGGATAGACTAGAACTACCGTATAGGATTTTCTAGGCTATACTCTTTATGCGAGTAGATAACCAGGTCTTTTCTTCCATGGAGCCTCTGGGTGGGTTCAAGCCACTGTTTTTTCAGTTAGCAGGTAAGCACTTAACCATTGTGCCACCGGTGTTCCTTCTTAAATAAACACGGGTTAATTTTTTCACATATAATAAGAATTCTGTAGATAGACAGCTACTGCTATTGGTTCAGTGCTTGACAGTGCCAGAACTGGTTATGGTTTTATTGCTTTTTCCCTCCTATTGATGTCTTATGGTTTCAGGATGGTTGCTGCCCTTCTATGTACCATGTCTACACTCAAGGCAGAAAAATAGACAAGACTGGTGTGATGGACCCTTTCTATCAAGAAAAGCCTTCCTAGAATACTGATGACAGATTTCCACTGATATTTCATTGACCAGAGCTGGGTTATATAGCCTTCCTTACTTGCAGTAGATGCTGGACAATTGATAATTTCTGTCTTTCTCAGGTATACCGTTGAAGACAGAAAAAAAAAAATTGAATTATGAAGTATAGGTTAGAGTTTGGTTTTATATTAAAAAAATGTATTATTGGATGTCTTAGTTATCTAATGCTGCTATGACAGAAATACCACAAGGGGATGGGTTTACCAAACAGAAGTTTGTTCTCTTACAGTCTAGTAGGCTAGAAGTCCGATTTCAGGCTACCACCTCTAGGGGAAGGCTTTCTTTCTCTGTGGGCTCTGGAGGAAGGTCCTTGTCATCAGTAATTCCTTAGACTAGGAACTTGTCAATGCAGGGACCTCGAGTCCAAAGGACACGCTGTTCTCCTGGCTCTTGGTTCTTGGTATGAGTTCCCTCTGTCTCTCTGCTCACTTCTCTCTTTTATATCTCAAAACAGATTAATTTAAAACACAACCTAATCTTGTAGATTGAGTCCTGCCTCATTAACATAACTAATTGTAATCCCACCTCATTAACATCATAAAGGTAGGATTTACAACATGTAGGAAAATCACATCAGATGACAAAATGGTGGAAAATCACTCAATATTGGGAATCATGGCCTAGCCAGATTGACACACACTTTTTTTTTTTTTTTATATTTTATTGTACTTCAGGTGAAGGCTTACAGAACAGATAGTTTCTCATGTAACAGTAACACACATGCTGTTTTATGACATTGGTTAACAACCCCA